CCTGTTTTGACATCCCATAGACGGATAGACTAATCACCACTACCAGAAGCTAATGTATTTCTATCAGGAAAGAAACAGACTGAGTTAATACAACCACTATAACCAATAATTAAAGTGAATTGAAACAAAATTAGATGTATTGATTATATATGGATGTGAGGTGAACCTATTTTTTCATTATTAATTCTTTTAAAGCTTTCAAAAATAATTCAGTTGAATATTCAAATTTATTAAAGTTATGTTTATTGAAAATTCAAATTAATATTCTGAACATTTTAATTATCATGACAAATATTTTTTAGGACAATTTTTTGACTTGTTTCATTTCATTTCATGTATTTGAATTAAAATTAAAAGTGAATCGAGTTTGATAAGAATGAAAACTTCTTAATTTCTTTCAAAAATTTATGATCAAATAATCCTTAATTTAGAATAATCTACATTTTATCACTGAGAAAGCTGTATTTTTTTCTGAACATCTAAAACATAAGAAAACTTTTGAATAATCAGGATATTTTTCGTTCTCTGCATCTTGCTACTGTTTAATCAGAAATAAGATGCCATAGTTTCTTGCTCTTAAAATATAAGCATACTTTCATCTTTATCATTGGAAAAACTTTTTCTTTAAATACTCGCCTTTACAGGATTAACATTAATTAAATTTAGCAACAATTAGTTATACAAAATATAATAATTATAATAATATCTATTGATCTAGATGCCAAGTTAGTAATATTTCAACTCTTTTTCTGCAATAAGATTTCATTAAATAGAACACTTAAGGTATGAAACCAAAAAATTTTTTTTTAATTAAGAAAAACAATCTTGTAATTATTGATAAATACTTATACAATGAATGACAGCGATTGGCTAAATCATAACCAAAAAATTTATATTCAAATTTTTTGGTTATGAATATTATATTTCTAACTGCTTGGAGCATTTTTTAAATCTAAATTTTTTTTTAATTGGAGAATACGAATAGGTTTTAATTGCATGGTCAACATTTAATTTTGTTAATCTAAAGCTCTCCTTCTTTTTTTGACTTTTCTTGTTGTGGGTTGCCAAAATTAGATCCATTGAATTTTCTGCTAATTCCTTAATTTTTTTTAATGGCTAAATGCTTTAAATATCAGGCAATGTCATTTCAAGTTTATTATTTTTTTTTTGAAATTTTAATTTTTTCAGCCCCCAATAATAAATTATAATTCCTTAAGGAAATCTCTCTCCTTGACTCTGCCAAGCATTATCTTGAAATTAACCCTTGTAAACAGTTCCATTTAGTCAAGTAATTTTTTATCAAACTAGTTGTTGAAGATTACCTTAAGCCTTAACTATGTCTTATGCCATTTAGAAAAAAGCCTAAATATCACACTTGTCATTTCTAAAATTTCCTCTAAATAAATCATCTGTCCTAAAATTAAAATTTATATACCTTTTTCAGATTATTTAATTTTTGAAACTCCAAATACTTCAATAGGAAAAGTATATTTTTTTCTAGTTATGGTAAAAAAGGCATATATCACAAAGCTTCCTTTTACATTAACAATTATGAAGTACAATACATATAAAACATTGTATTATTCTTTGGATAAGCACAATTCACATTTTTCAAACAATTTAATTTCAATCGCTTATTTTCAATAGTTTCTTTAGAATCAAAATATCTTGATTATTTTACCAAGAAGGAAATCACAATTTGTAAAGACTCTGAGACGATTGTAATTGTGATAAAATTAATGGTGGAAACAGGATAAATCAGTAGAATTACTTTATAATTTTTAATTTAAATAATCTTTAAAATGTTATTCCTAATGGTTGAAGTAGGTGGATAGAAATAGTTTTAATGGAGGGGAAGCCTAACTAATGCCAAATTGGGAAACTCTGAAAGCTTCCAAAATATGGTGAATTGCATCATATGACCCTTTTGGTTGGACAACTTATTGCACGCCAAGATTCTAACTCTTAATCCTAATAGCATGGTCTCTTTCTTGGGTCTATCAAGATTTTTTTGAGTCTTTGGTAGCTACCTTGTGGATATTTCTGGAGTCCAAAACCGAACTTTTACCCACTTCTATTAACTACTTTGTTAATGAATACTGCATTAAAGGCAGACCCTTCTCAGCTCCACCTCTCATTGCCTGGCTTCCTCCCCTCTTTGCTTCTACTTAATGGTATTGAACTTAATCCTTATGCTGTATTTGTTTATCTTGCCAAAATTCTGATCTTACTGCATCTAAGCCTTGATATACTAATTGTTTTGTTGACATCCTTCTTGTTCATACCACCAGTTTAAGCCTAGTGCATCGACAGACGAAAGCGAGAGGCCTGAGAAAAAAGAAAGTCTTGGAGCCTTAAGAAGGAAGTTCATTTCCTAATCAGTTAGAAGGAAGGAAATTATCAAAAAAATAATCTAATTTTTCTTTTTTTTAACTAATTCTTCATTTTTCTTCTAAAATCTAATGTTGTTACTTTTGACAAAATCCAATTAATTTTTAGTTTAGTAAGAAACAAAATAAAAATCATTTTTTGATTTGAGCTTTATTTGAAATCACATTAAAATCTTACTCATTTTCATATATCAACAATCAATCTATTTTATATTGTTATTTTATATTATAAAAATTATTGTTTAATTTTAATATTTAAACTTCAATATTGATTAATATTGTTATAAAATCTAAAAAAATAGATTTATAATAATTAGATGTTATTATAATCTCAGATATCTGTTAAATTTATAGAAAACATTATAATCTCTTCAAGTTTTTGATTGTAGAGTATCTATTTCATGTCACATAAATTTTCTGATATGTTGATTAATAATTCAGAATAGGCTTGAGCTTATTTCGAATATTAAATTTTGAAAACTAATTCTTTGAGAGTGTTACTGCATTTATAGTTTTATTTATAAAGCTTTTGAATGGGACAATCTAAACATTTCTCAAAATTACTTTCAATCCACTTTCCTAAAGGACAGACAACATTAATATCAATTCTAATATCTGTGAGATCTTTCTCTAAAGTAACATAAAATTCACCTGTAGTATTTAATATTTAATTATTCTCTAAGAAATGAACTGAAATTGAGGTAGTAGATCCAAGTTATGATTTTTGCTTGACTTCAAATTAGTACAAATTTAAGGAGTAGAACTTTGTAGTTAAAACTTGAGAGAGAAATCCATGAGAATGAGAACAAGGAGTAAAAGCGCTCCACCCTAAATTTTGGACAATATTTTACAAGTGGCCAAACTATACTAATATAATGAATTCCCTTAAAACTAATATTATTTATCCAATCTGACAGCATCCGTATAAGGATATCCCATTCCAGTAAATGGTGATATAAACCATGCATTTTATTTCTCTTCAATCAGTTTTGAATAGTCGTTTGTAGAATCGAGAAAAAGAAAATTTTAAAAAACTTCTTTTGGTCCTAAAATAATTTGAAATCCCACTTAAACCTACTGTAGAAAATCTTCCGGCACTTTTGTCAAAGAAACAGTAACATTTTCACTTGTAATCTCAATGATCTCACATTTACAATAAAGAAATACTTAGAGTTTAAAATTGATTTCATCAAAATTATGGCTTATTAAAGTGATGAGACCAATTTCTGTGTTCACGTTTTTATTCTTATGTTGATAGGTCATTTCAGTTAAATTTATTGTGTTAAAAGCATTGATTATTTAAAATCTTTAATCATCTATTGCATACCATTTTATTCTAACACAACTTGCCCAACCAGTTAAACAAACTACCAATAAGCTAAAATCTTTTATATATTCAATCTTGTAATTTACTTGAAATAGTAACATCTTAGATTTATATTCTAAAGTCAGTTTTCACATCAACACTGATGAGATCTAAGATAATAAAAACTTAAGGAATGGTTTCAAAAGGATAATTAAAGGGAATTATGAATGTGTACGGAATTTGATCCCTGCAATCAAAGTTCGCATTTTATTATTAACATGTTTCTAAACAAAATCCTTCATCGAACTTATTGCCATATATTAGCTGTATCATTAATAAAATAAGTTTCAAAGTCTTCTATATCATTATTGATTATCTATATAATAATTTATAATTTTCTTAAATACTGTAGAGAAGTATTCATAATTATTAATAATATTTGTTTGATATATATAATTTTTTTTTCATTGTTTTAGAATTTATAACCTTCTAATAATTAAATCAATAATAATATTTATTTTTATATGCCATACATGAAAATTAAGTTCGCTATATTAATTGCTCTATTGAAAAGAGATAAAAGAGAAGTAATTAAAAGGAAAATTGAAAATGAAATTAAATATTGACTATAATATTAAATGTAGTAGAATAATTTGATTGATATATTGTGTATTTTTCCTGGAAAAGGCATATAAAAATAAATATTATTATTGATTTAATTATTAGAAGGTTATAAATTCTAAAAAAATGAAAAAAAAATTATATATATCAAACAAATATTATTAATAATTATGAATACTTCTCTACAGTATTTAAGAAAATTATAAATTATTATATAGATAATCAATAATGATATAGAAGACTTTGAAACTTATTTTATTAATGATACAGCTAATATATGGCAATAAGTTCGATGAAGGATTTTGTTTAGAAACATGTTAATAATAAAATGCGAACTTTGATTGCAGGGATCAAATTCCGTACACATTCATAATTCCCTTTAATTATCCTTTTGAAACCATTCCTTAAGTTTTTATTATCTTAGATCTCATCAGTGTTGATGTGAAAACTGACTTTAGAATATAAATCTAAGATGTTACTATTTCAAGTAAATTACAAGATTGAATATATAAAAGATTTTAGCTTATTGGTAGTTTGTTTAACTGGTTGGGCAAGTTGTGTTAGAATAAAATGGTATGCAATAGATGATTAAAGATTTTAAATAATCAATGCTTTTAACACAATAAATTTAACTGAAATGACCTATCAACATAAGAATAAAAACGTGAACACAGAAATTGGTCTCATCACTTTAATAAGCCATAATTTTGATGAAATCAATTTTAAACTCTAAGTATTTCTTTATTGTAAATGTGAGATCATTGAGATTACAAGTGAAAATGTTACTGTTTCTTTGACAAAAGTGCCGGAAGATTTTCTACAGTAGGTTTAAGTGGGATTTCAAATTATTTTAGGACCAAAAGAAGTTTTTTAAAATTTTCTTTTTCTCGATTCTACAAACGACTATTCAAAACTGATTGAAGAGAAATAAAATGCATGGTTTATATCACCATTTACTGGAATGGGATATCCTTATACGGATGCTGTCAGATTGGATAAATAATATTAGTTTTAAGGGAATTCATTATATTAGTATAGTTTGGCCACTTGTAAAATATTGTCCAAAATTTAGGGTGGAGCGCTTTTACTCCTTGTTCTCATTCTCATGGATTTCTCTCTCAAGTTTTAACTACAAAGTTCTACTCCTTAAATTTGTACTAATTTGAAGTCAAGCAAAAATCATAACTTGGATCTACTACCTCAATTTCAGTTCATTTCTTAGAGAATAATTAAATATTAAATACTACAGGTGAATTTTATGTTACTTTAGAGAAAGATCTCACAGATATTAGAATTGATATTAATGTTGTCTGTCCTTTAGGAAAGTGGATTGAAAGTAATTTTGAGAAATGTTTAGATTGTCCCATTCAAAAGCTTTATAAATAAAACTATAAATGCAGTAACACTCTCAAAGAATTAGTTTTCAAAATTTAATATTCGAAATAAGCTCAAGCCTATTCTGAATTATTAATCAACATATCAGAAAATTTATGTGACATGAAATAGATACTCTACAATCAAAAACTTGAAGAGATTATAATGTTTTCTATAAATTTAACAGATATCTGAGATTATAATAACATCTAATTATTATAAATCTATTTTTTTAGATTTTATAACAATATTAATCAATATTGAAGTTTAAATATTAAAATTAAACAATAATTTTTATAATATAAAATAGGAGATAGATTTATTAATATAAAATAGATTGATTGTTGATATATGAAAATGAGTAAGATTTTAATGTGATTTCAAATAAAGCTCAAATCAAAAAATGATTTTTATTTTGTTTCTTACTAAACTAAAAATTAATTGGATTTTGTCAAAAGTAACAACATTAGATTTTAGAAGAAAAATGAAGAATTAGTTAAAAAAAAGAAAAATTAGATTATTTTTTTGATAATTTCCTTCCTTCTAACTGATTAGGAAATGAACTTCCTTCTTAAGGCTCCAAGACTTTCTTTTTTCTCAGGCCTCTCGCTTTCGTCTGTCGATGCACTAGGCTTAAACTGGTGGTATGAACAAGAAGGATGTCAACAAAACAATTAGTATATCAAGGCTTAGATGCNGTTACTGTTTCTTTGACAAAAGTGCCGGAAGATTTTCTACAGTAGGTTTAAGTGGGATTTCAAATTATTTTAGGACCAAAAGAAGTTTTTTAAAATTTTCTTTTTCTCGATTCTACAAACGACTATTCAAAACTGATTGAAGAGAAATAAAATGCATGGTTTATATCACCATTTACTGGAATGGGATATCCTTATACGGATGCTGTCAGATTGGATAAATAATATTAGTTTTAAGGGAATTCATTATATTAGTATAGTTTGGCCACTTGTAAAATATTGTCCAAAATTTAGGGTGGAGCGCTTTTACTCCTTGTTCTCATTCTCATGGATTTCTCTCTCAAGTTTTAACTACAAAGTTCTACTCCTTAAATTTGTACTAATTTGAAGTCAAGCAAAAATCATAACTTGGATCTACTACCTCAATTTCAGTTCATTTCTTAGAGAATAATTAAATATTAAATACTACAGGTGAATTTTATGTTACTTTAGAGAAAGATCTCACAGATATTAGAATTGATATTAATGTTGTCTGTCCTTTAGGAAAGTGGATTGAAAGTAATTTTGAGAAATGTTTAGATTGTCCCATTCAAAAGCTTTATAAATAAAACTATAAATGCAGTAACACTCTCAAAGAATTAGTTTTCAAAATTTAATATTCGAAATAAGCTCAAGCCTATTCTGAATTATTAATCAACATATCAGAAAATTTATGTGACATGAAATAGATACTCTACAATCAAAAACTTGAAGAGATTATAATGTTTTCTATAAATTTAACAGATATCTGAGATTATAATAACATCTAATTATTATAAATCTATTTTTTTAGATTTTATAACAATTATTAATTATATAAAGAAAAATGTTATTTTACATATTTATTTTATTTAATAGATTATACTACTTTTATATAAAATATTTGAATTCATATCTAAATAATTAAATGCTTTAAAATGATTTTATGTAAGGCAATGAAATTAATGTTGATGATTCCTATGATTTAATTCAATTAACAATAAAGATTTTACCAATTGAATTTACATGTTGATAAATATCTTTGCATAGATAAGATTGAAAAACATATTTTTAGATTCTGAGATTTCTGTTTATAATCGTTTATAAATCAGTGGGTATCTTGATAGTTTAAAGAATTTAAGTGACAATTAGTATAAATATAAAAATATGGAAAAAATATAATAATAAAAGGAATGTGATATATTTGATTTTTTAATAAAAATAACATAAATATTTAATAAATTTAATATTGATTCATTTTTTGCCTCCTTTCTCACATAATACTATTTCAAAATTTTCATTTTCAATTGTTTAAAAAGTAGATCCTCTAATACTACAATTTAAAGCTGATAAAAGAGGATTTTTTGCAAAAATATGATAGCAAATTGGTTTTTCATAAATTTTTAATGTTTACTATTCAATCTTATAGAATAATATTGATCCATCCCCCATACCAAGCATGAATTACTATTGAGATGGAGTAAATAAAATTGTATATATATTGGAGTTGAATCTATTCAAAGTAAATATTAATTACTTTGTTTGAGAATCCAAAATATCCTAAGTTCTACCTTTTATTTCATCAATATATTTAGGTATATTTAATTGTTACTTTGCAGCTTTAAAATCAAACTAATTTTAATCTTCAATAACATCTATTTCTGAATATTCTGAAATATTTTAATCAATTATAACACCAGATATGCTTAAAATCCTGATTTTTTTCTGAATTAAGAAATTAAAATGCTAGAGTTTAAATTGGTTTTGCAAATTTAACTTTTAATCTAATAGAATTATAATCAGATAAATCCCATAATCTTATTGTGTGATCAATTCCTAATGATAACAGATAATTCACTTCAGTTGAAAAATTAGATTGGAAGAATATAATTATTTTCCAAGTTAAGTTCCTTCTAAAATAACAATGTTTTTTATAGTTTCTTATGATATATCATATAATTTAAGTATTTTTGTATATTAGAGAGCAATCAAACTAAATACTTAATTAAATCCAACTGAGAAACTTTCCAAATCAATTTTATTAGGTTCAGATTCCAATTATGAAAATCAAATGTTGGTAATCTAAAATTTATCTAATATCCAATAACTTCCGCCATGCATCAAAAGATTCAGACCATATAACTATATATTCCTCATCTTTAATCGGAAGCAAATAAAGAGTGTGAATTTCTCTGAAATTAGTTAGATATATATGACTATCTCTGGTCCTATAATGAAATTAACACAAATTTATCAGTTACATTCCACAATCTTATTTTTCATCAATGTGACATGAAATTAATATCTTACTATTATTGGAAAAAGTCATTGATAAAATTTTAATATTTTTTTCATCACAATATAAATTAGCTATTTTTTATTGTTTTCAATTGACCAGATATTAAGAGAATATGATTCTAATGGATTGCTTCTTATAAGGAATTTTGTTGAAAGTATAATCGTTCTTGATTGAATCTTTGAATCTGATTAAAATGGTAATTATTTCTATTTACTAATTTTTTCCAAATTCAGAATAAATATTTTAGATTTATCAATCTACCAAATAAGTAGATTCTAATCTAAACTAAATTATTATTACCAGATAGGTTAACACCAATATATTTTGTGAAATTCAGTCATATATTTTGTATTAAATTTCAGTTATGAATGAATTCTTGTTCACCCTTTGCGATAAAATATTGATTATTAGGTGAAAAGAAAATAGGGAAGGAAGTCTTTAACCCTTCATTAATACATCAAGCTTTTTTAATTCACCAAATCCCATCTAATTATGTCAACAGATGATCCTGTTACCATTTGGAAACCATCTGAGGAAATACATATTTTATTAACAGAATAAGAATGACCATCCATTTCAAATTATTACTGTTTTAAGGTTTTTAAATCCCATAAATTTATGATATTATAATTAGTTTAAGCTAATAGAGTTAAAGTAGAGAATTTTTATATGTAAATATATTTTTTGATTTAAAAAGACAATTTTTAATTATTTAGTTGCTGCATTGCTCTACTTGAAATTGTAAGCATATCTATTCTTTCAGTATCTGTTTTAAAGTAAGAGAGCAATTTACAAGATTTAGTATCCCATAATTTAATTCTTAAATCTTAATAACTTGCAACAAAATTTAATTGATCTTAAGAGAAAATGGAATCTATACACTAGAATTTTTAATCAAGTACCTCTTCAAAACAAGATATTACTTTTTAAGTTTCAAGTTCAATTAATAGTAATTTTTGTTCCACTAAATCAAATTATTGATATTTGTTTTTACTTAGAATTATCATGGTTTCTTACTAATTTAATGCACAGAATTTTGAATTAAACTTATTAAAATTTATTTATTTTAAAATCTTATTAGAACAAATTTCTAATTGAAAATAAATCAAATTGGCTGTTAAAATTGACAAAATATTGCTATCTTATGAAAAATTTTAATAATAATAGCCAACATGATAATTCTATTCTATTAAATAGAATATTTTTTTAACTGGAATAGTATTTTCAAGTGATATAAATTAAATATCTTATCCTATTCCCATTCCTATAATTTTTTTCTGAATCAAAAATTTCATCTCTTGATATTTCTCTATTATCAAATATTAATAATTCAATTTACTATTATTTTAACATGTTTACCAAAGCTATGCAATTTTAACTAAATATACAAATTTATAATTTTTTTTCTAAAAAAATCATTTTCAAAGTGAGATCAGGTAATAACTGATAATAGCTTTGTTTATTAAAGATCTTTTATATCATATAATACTAGTTATCCACTTAGAACAATTGCTAATTATTCTTTCCCAAGAAAACAAATCAATAAACAACATTTACTCACTTAAAAATTCTACAATATTTAACTTGTTATAATATCTTAGATGAATGCTCCCTTATTTGTTGCAAAAGCTAAGAGTGAGGAATCAGGGGAAAATTAAAAGTCTTTGATATAATTTTTCTCTTCAAAATGAATGTTAGTGTTATTATTGAGATTTCAATAACTATAATCTCTATTCTATTAAAAACTCTATTGGCGATAGCGATAATTTTATTATTTTAAGATACTGAAATACAATAGGCATCCACCGAAAAGGGAAAACTTTTTTTTTTAAGGATTATTCAATTTATATTTCCAGTTGATAAACATTAAATCCAATATGAGCAATAATATTTTAACTATTCTAATAATACACTTTATAAAGTCGTCCTCCTTCATCAATCTTGATTTATTAATCAATATCCAAGCATTATTGATTTATTTTCCATATTCTAAGAATTCTATCCTAGCTAAAGGATATCATTATCTCTAAATTATGCTTCAATCGCATAACTTGAAATCAAATTAAATTCAGCAGAATTCCAAAATTTTATCTCATTAGAAGTTTAGCCATATAATGATACCAAGATCTATTTATTTGGACAATAAATAATCTTTTGAGCTCCAAGTTGCTGTTATAATATCATTTAAATTTTTGGTTTATCCAAGTTAGTCCTACTCCAAAAAATAATTGTTTTATCTAAAATGGAAGTTGCCATTTGCTATCCATCAGATGAAAATGCAAGATCTAAAACTTGATCTAAGCGAGTTGTCAATTTAACTATTAATTATAAATTTAGTAAATTCCAGAGACAAATAATATTATCCAAGCTACCTGAACCTAAAACTAAATTATCATTTCTGAATTTTAAAGTTGAAATTTTTTTTGAATGTTCTTTAAGAATCGAGAGCATTTTAATTTAGAACAAATTTTTAATGTCCCATATGCTTATTTAATAATTTGTACTACTTGCTAAAATTTAGTATGTACTCTAAAAAAGTCTTATTGATAGGGTAACATTTGAACTTCATAAATTTTAAATGAAGAGCAAGTATTCGAAGCAAAGAACTTACCATCATTTGAATAAGCTACCTATGTTACACTTTATTATGAATCAAAGAAATATAATAGTTAAACTTGATTAAGATTCTATATATTCAAAAATTCTAATTTCTCATCATACCATCCAACAGCTAATACTTAATTATCTCTTTAAAATGCTATTCTAATTGCTTAATTATTTCGTTCTGGAAGTTCCAAGATTTATTAAACATCTGAAATATTTGAAGCATTCCAAATTGTAATTCGGCGAAATTGCTA